ACACGAGGCGCGGGCCCTGTGCTTTGTGTCGTACAGGGGCTTGTAGCCTTTATATAGCCTGCCAAGTCCTGCTTTGCCAAGGACCCAAGCCAGCGGATTTAGCTCAGTTGGGAGAGCGCTAGACTGAAGATCTAGAGGTCGCTAGTTCGATCCTGGCAATTCGCAGGCTGCCAGCCTTCCTTGGAGGAGGAATACCTGTCCAAGGCTTGGGTCCCGCTTTTGCACCGCCCAGAGTGCTTGCGGTCCTTTTGCAGACCTTTTGCTGGCCGTCTTGCCGCCTCTTCGAACGGCCTACACAAAGGAGGCCAACCAAAAGGCGCAAACGGGATTAATCTCGCTCATAGGTTGCGACAAAGACGGCAGCTTGCACCATGAAACAGGGCTACAGGGGATGGGGCGCGTCTATGCAACACGGGGACATGTCGACACCCTGCAGGAACATGACATGTCAACATACCGCAAATACGGTGTAGGCACAACAAAGGAACATGTCGTCATGCCGCAGGATCATGTTGACGGACCAAAGGTACACCTCGATATACAGAAAGACAGAGGTGCAGTGCATCAATCTAACACCGCATGCACCATGCAATGACACACTAGCCTTTACGGTTACGCCCGCGACAGGCTTGTATGCATGCATGTACATACTGCATGAAGGCGGGTGCCGGGTCTTAGTGTGCCAGCCAGTTTGGAGGGGGGAGGGCGCATGGGGCTTGCGATGTTGTGCAGATCCACACGTGCGCCAGGCTAGCATGCATCTACAGCACGGTGTCACTGCACGTAACCATCCATGCATGGAACTATCACGAATACACGCACATTCACACGTGGATGTGCCCGTGTGTGTATGTGCGTTGCAGTCTGTGCGGCGGCACTGCAGCGCAAGGAAAACACATACGCTCCAGGGGGTTGCATGGACTTCCAGGCAGCCTGCATGTGTTGATGCCTTGGTTGAACTTGGAGCTTGTGTGGATGTTTTGGAAACAAGATATCTGCTTGTGTAAACATTGAAAGGATAGATTTTTGAAGTGTGCTTTCTGGCCATGGGCACATCACCCAAATGCCCACCCTGCTTGATTGCCTGGCATCTCAACCAAGGACCATGCGCCTTGCCATCACCGGTTAGCCAACACATGCACACTCGTCGGGTGATTTAGAGTACCAGCAAAAGTGGACCTGGTCGATCGCCGTGCTAGCTACGAGGTTCGTTAGCAGGGGTGAAGTTGAGCGGCTTGCAGGTAGGTGGGGAAAGGATGGCCAGTAGTACAGAAGGGTCGGGGAAGAGGTGAGGTTTGTTCAATGTTTGGCATGCCGCCGAGCACATATGTTCTCGTATTGGATAGTAGTCGCATACAGGGTAGCCCCCAAGCCAGTAACATGGCGTAACGGCGGGGACCGTCTGGACGTGTGAATCACATTAGCTAGACTGCCAGGCAAGTCGGCCGTTTACCTAACATACGTTACACCACTCAGCGTGCACCTATGGCCTGCTTGGCATGCCTTGGCATGTTGCCTCCTGCCGTTGGGTCGCCATACACCAGCCTCAGCTGTGGGCGCGCGAACGCATGACGGTTGTCCATGCTTTTGCGTCCAGCCCATGTGCTCTTCCCTATCCCTCCAAGCTCAGTAGCACCTGCCGTGGCAGTGCACCATCACCTTCGCCGCCTTTGGAGGAGGAGTGCAGGTTGTGTCGCCGCAGTGGTAGAGCTGTTCCACATTGGACTACCCGTAGCGTCCTCCGTAGTGCGACCACGGAGGATATGTGGAGCTGAGGTTGGAGTGCAATGTGAAGGCTACGCCTTTTTATCATAGCCGTGTCAACAGCGTGATTGAACCCTGGCTGGTTTGGTTTACACCTCTTCCGCATACCGTATGTGCTGACACCAAGACGGTTACAGCCTGGACAAGCATACCCTTGCATGTTGGCACCTTGTGTTCCTTGAAAAGGTCTAATTTGACGTAAAACACGAGGCGCGGGCCCTGTGCTTTGTGTCGTACAGGGGCTTGTAGCCTTTATATAGCCTGCCAAGTCCTGCTTTGCCAAGGACCCAAGCCAGCGGATTTAGCTCAGTTGGGAGAGCGCTAGACTGAAGATCTAGAGGTCGCTAGTTCGATCCTGGCAATTCGCAGGCTGCCAGCCTTCCTTGGAGGAGGAATACCTGTCCAAGGCTTGGGTCCCGCTTTTGCACCTCTTCCGCACATGCACACTCGTCGGGTGATTTAGAGTACCAGCAAAAGTGGACCTGGTCGATCGCCGTGCTAGCTACGAGGTTCGTTAGCAGGGGTGAAGTTGAGCGGCTTGCAGGTAGGTGGGGAAAGGATGGCCAGTAGTACAGAAGGGTCGGGGAAGAGGTGAGGTTTGTTCAATGTTTGGCATGCCGCCGAGCACATATGTTCTCGTATTGGATAGTAGTCGCATACAGGGTAGCCCCCAAGCCAGTAACATGGCGTAACGGCGGGGACCGTCTGGACGTGTGAATCACATTAGCTAGACTGCCAGGCAAGTCGGCCGTTTACCTAACATACGTTACACCACTCAGCGTGCACCTATGGCCTGCTTGGCATGCCTTGGCATGTTGCCTCCTGCCGTTGGGTCGCCATACACCAGCCTCAGCTGTGGGCGCGCGAACGCATGACGGTTGTCCATGCTTTTGCGTCCAGCCCATGTGCTCTTCCCTATCCCTCCAAGCTCAGTAGCACCTGCCGTGGCAGTGCACCATCACCTTCGCCGCCTTTGGAGGAGGAGTGCAGGTTGTGTCGCCGCAGTGGTAGAGCTGTTCCACATTGGACTACCCGTAGCGTCCTCCGTAGTGCGACCACGGAGGATATGTGGAGCTGAGGTTGGAGTGCAATGTGAAGGCTACGCCTTTTTATCATAGCCGTGTCAACAGCGTGATTGAACCCTGGCTGGTTTGGTTTACACCTCTTCCGCATACCGTATGTGCTGACACCAAGACGGTTACAGCCTGGACAAGCATACCCTTGCATGTTGGCACCTTGTGTTCCTTGAAAAGGTCTAATTTGACGTAAAACACGAGGCGCGGGCCCTGTGCTTTGTGTCGTACAGGGGCTTGTAGCCTTTATATAGCCTGCCAAGTCCTGCTTTGCCAAGGACCCAAGCCAGCGGATTTAGCTCAGTTGGGAGAGCGCTAGACTGAAGATCTAGAGGTCGCTAGTTCGATCCTGGCAATTCGCAGGCTGCCAGCCTTCCTTGGAGGAGGAATACCTGTCCAAGGCTTGGGTCCCGCTTTTGCACCGCCCAGAGTGCTTGCGGTCCTTTTGCAGACCTTTTGCTGGCCGTCTTGCCGCCTCTTCGAACGGCCTACACAAAGGAGGCCAACCAAAAGGCGCAAACGGGATTAATCTCGCTCATAGGTTGCGACAAAGACGGCAGCTTGCACCATGAAACAGGGCTACAGGGGATGGGGCGCGTCTATGCAACACGGGGACATGTCGACACCCTGCAGGAACATGACATGTCAACATACCGCAAATACGGTGTAGGCACAACAAAGGAACATGTCGTCATGCCGCAGGATCATGTTGACGGACCAAAGGTACACCTTGATATACAGAAAGACAGAGGTGCAGTGCATCAATCTAACACCGCATGCACCATGCAATGACACACTAGCCTTTACGGTTACGCCCGCGACAGGCTTGTATGCATGCATGTACATACTGCATGAAGGCGGGTGCCGGGTCTTAGTGTGCCAGCCAGTTTGGAGGGGGGAGGGCGCATGGGGCTTGCGATGTTGTGCAGATCCACACGTGCGCCAGGCTAGCATGCATCTACAGCACGGTGTCACTGCACGTAACCATCCATGCATGGAACTATCACGAATACACGCACATTCACACGTGGATGTGCCCGTGTGTGTATGTGCGTTGCAGTCTGTGCGGCGGCACTGCAGCGCAAGGAAAACACATACGCTCCAGGGGGTTGCATGGACTTCCAGGCAGCCTGCATGTGTTGATGCCTTGGTTGAACTTGGAGCTTGTGTGGATGTTTTGGAAACAAGATATCTGCTTGTGTAAACATTGAAAGGATAGATTTTTGAAGTGTGCTTTCTGGCCATGGGCACATCACCCAAATGCCCACCCTGCTTGATTGCCTGGCATCTCAACCAAGGACCATGCGCCTTGCCATCACCGGTTAGCCAACACATGCACACTCGTCGGGTGATTTAGAGTACCAGCAAAAGTGGACCTGGTCGATCGCCGTGCTAGCTACGAGGTTCGTTAGCAGGGGTGAAGTTGAGCGGCTTGCAGGTAGGTGGGGAAAGGATGGCCAGTAGTACAGAAGGGTTGGGGAAGAGGTGAGGTTTGTTCAATGTTTGGCATGCCGCCGAGCACATATGTTCTCGTATTGGATAGTAGTCGCATACAGGGTAGCCCCCAAGCCAGTAACATGGCGTAACGGCGGGGGCCGTCTGGACGTGTGAATCACAGTAGCTAGACTGCCAGGCAAGTCGGCCGTTTACCTAACATACGTTACACCACTCAGCGTGCACCTATGGCCTGCTTGGCATGCCTTGGCATGTTGCCTCCTGCCGTTGGGTCGCCATACACCAGCCTCAGCTGTGGGCGCGCGAACGCATGACGGTTGTCCATGCTTTTGCGTCCAGCCCATGTGCTCTTCCCTATCCCTCCAAGCTCAGTAGCACCTGCCGTGGCAGTGCACCATCACCTTCGCCGCCTTTGGAGGAGGAGTGCAGGTTGTGTCGCCGCAGTGGTAGAGCTGTTCCACATTGGACTACCCGTAGCGTCCTCCGTAGTGCGACCACGGAGGATATGTGGAGCTGAGGTTGGAGTGCAATGTGAAGGCTACGCCTTTTTATCATAGCCGTGTCAACAGCGTGATTGAACCCTGGCTGGTTTGGTTTACACCTCTTCCGCATACCGTATGTGCTGACACCAAGACGGTTACAGCCTGGACAAGCATACCCTTGCATGTTGGCACCTTGTGTTCCTTGAAAAGGTCTAATTTGACGTGTATGTATGTATGTATGTATGTTACAAGCTTCGTACCGAGCTCGTAAGATCCGTCCGAGCCAGAAGGCTCATGGATCGCGAGCACAAAACGCGAAAACAACCAAAAGAAGAAAAGTAAACAAAAGAGACAACAAACAGAACGCTAATCATATGATAAACCCTGTCTGCGCAATCCTGCGACTTCGCATGCTAGTGATTACGCTAGCAAGCAATGCCTGATTCTCCATGCCCATGACAGCAATCATATCAGCATCCCGTGGGACACCACTTTCCCATATCTTATCACGCAAATCATCGTAAGCGGGACATTCAATGAGGATGTGTTTCTCATCTTCCACTCTCCCCGGCGACCCCTGCACGGCACACATAGGACAGACACGCGCTACTCGTTGCCTACCCCTAGGGCGATTGGCTTCAATGCCCCACACACACAGCCGAAAACGCATCAGGTTCACATGCTGCCGCTGAGTAATGTACCCCCTGTCAACCGGGTCACCCATCCAATTTTTGTACCTGCACATCTTAACTCCAACCCCTGGTACGGGGTCTACTGGGTTGAAAAGCCGCGGGTCATCTTCCAAACTCCTATCCTCCCAATCCGCATCCATTCTATCAGCAAACTTTTTAGTGAGAGCAGACACATTTAGCTCCGTGCCAGCAATACGTTCCACACGCGCATTCAAGTCCAATTCACCCCCCAAGGCCGTCAAATCCGTCCCTAACATTTTCAGAATCTTCAGCACCTTAGAACCCCAGCCATCATAATGCTCAGTACTGAGAGCCGAACGAATTTCACCTCGCAACGTCTGGTGGTAGACCGTGTCCTTCTGCTTGACCAGGTCATTCCAAAACCTCAGAAACAGTTCCAGCCAGAAGACATGCAAGGGACGCTGGTTAAACTCCTTAAACAGCAACTTATCAGGCGAGACTTTCACACCCGCAATCTCCCGAAGAAATTCCCTTTGTAACTGCACCATTGGGTCCCGCAAGGATCTGTCAAAGTACCTCGCGGAATTCTCGCAGTCCGTCATTAGCTTCAGCACCACATCAGGCCCCCACACCTGGACACCGTACGACAAGATGGAGCGGACTTGACGTAAAACACGAGGCGCGGGCCCTGTGCTTTGTGTCGTACAGGGGCTTGTAGCCTTTATATAGCCTGCCAAGTCCTGCTTTGCCAAGGACCCAAGCCAGCGGATTTAGCTCAGTTGGGAGAGCGCTAGACTGAAGATCTAGAGGTCGCTAGTTCGATCCTGGCAATTCGCAGGCTGCCAGCCTTCCTTGGAGGAGGAATACCTGTCCAAGGCTTGGGTCCCGCTTTTGCACCGCCCAGAGTGCTTGCGGTCCTTTTGCAGACCTTTTGCTGGCCGTCTTGCCGCCTCTTCGAACGGCCTACACAAAGGAGGCCAACCAAAAGGCGCAAACGGGATTAATCTCGCTCATAGGTTGCGACAAAGACGGCAGCTTGCACCATGAAACAGGGCTACAGGGGATGGGGCGCGTCTATGCAACACGGGGACATGTCGACACCCTGCAGGAACATGACATGTCAACATACCGCAAATACGGTGTAGGCACAACAAAGGAACATGTCGTCATGCCGCAGGATCATGTTGACGGACCAAAGGTACACCTCGATATACAGAAAGACAGAGGTGCAGTGCATCAATCTAACACCGCATGCACCATGCAATGACACACTAGCCTTTACGGTTACGCCCGCGACAGGCTTGTATGCATGCATGTACATACTGCATGAAGGCGGGTGCCGGGTCTTAGTGTGCCAGCCAGTTTGGAGGGGGGAGGGCGCATGGGGCTTGCGATGTTGTGCAGATCCACACGTGCGCCAGGCTAGCATGCATCTACAGCACGGTGTCACTGCACGTAACCATCCATGCATGGAACTATCACGAATACACGCACATTCACACGTGGATGTGCCCGTGTGTGTATGTGCGTTGCAGTCTGTGCGGCGGCACTGCAGCGCAAGGAAAACACATACGCTCCAGGGGGTTGCATGGACTTCCAGGCAGCCTGCATGTGTTGATGCCTTGGTTGAACTTGGAGCTTGTGTGGATGTTTTGGAAACAAGATATCTGCTTGTGTAAACATTGAAAGGATAGATTTTTGAAGTGTGCTTTCTGGCCATGGGCACATCACCCAAATGCCCACCCTGCTTGATTGCCTGGCATCTCAACCAAGGACCATGCGCCTTGCCATCACCGGTTAGCCAACACATGCACACTCGTCGGGTGATTTAGAGTACCAGCAAAAGTGGACCTGGTCGATCGCCGTGCTAGCTACGAGGTTCGTTAGCAGGGGTGAAGTTGAGCGGCTTGCAGGTAGGTGGGGAAAGGATGGCCAGTAGTACAGAAGGGTTGGGGAAGAGGTGAGGTTTGTTCAATGTTTGGCATGCCGCCGAGCACATATGTTCTCGTATTGGATAGTAGTCGCATACAGGGTAGCCCCCAAGCCAGTAACATGGCGTAACGGCGGGGACCGTCTGGACGTGTGAATCACATTAGCTAGACTGCCAGGCAAGTCGGCCGTTTACCTAACATACGTTACACCACTCAGCGTGCACCTATGGCCTGCTTGGCATGCCTTGGCATGTTGCCTCCTGCCGTTGGGTCGCCATACACCAGCCTCAGCTGTGGGCGCGCGAACGCATGACGGTTGTCCATGCTTTTGCGTCCAGCCCATGTGCTCTTCCCTATCCCTCCAAGCTCAGTAGCACCTGCCGTGGCAGTGCACCATCACCTTCGCCGCCTTTGGAGGAGGAGTGCAGGTTGTGTCGCCGCAGTGGTAGAGCTGTTCCACATTGGACTACCCGTAGCGTCCTCCGTAGTGCGACCACGGAGGATATGTGGAGCTGAGGTTGGAGTGCAATGTGAAGGCTACGCCTTTTTATCATAGCCGTGTCAACAGCGTGATTGAACCCTGGCTGGTTTGGTTTACACCTCTTCCGCATACCGTATGTGCTGACACCAAGACGGTTACAGCCTGGACAAGCATACCCTTGCATGTTGGCACCTTGTGTTCCTTGAAAAGGTCTAATTTGACGTAAAACACGAGGCGCGGGCCCTGTGCTTTGTGTCGTACAGGGGCTTGTAGCCTTTATATAGCCTGCCAAGTCCTGCTTTGCCAAGGACCCAAGCCAGCGGATTTAGCTCAGTTGGGAGAGCGCTAGACTGAAGATCTAGAGGTCGCTAGTTCGATCCTGGCAATTCGCAGGCTGCCAGCCTTCCTTGGAGGAGGAATACCTGTCCAAGGCTTGGGTCCCGCTTTTGCACCGCCCAGAGTGCTTGCGGTCCTTTTGCAGACCTTTTGCTGGCCGTCTTGCCGCCTCTTCGAACGGCCTACACAAAGGAGGCCAACCAAAAGGCGCAAACGGGATTAATCTCGCTCATAGGTTGCGACAAAGACGGCAGCTTGCACCATGAAACAGGGCTACAGGGGATGGGGCGCGTCTATGCAACACGGGGACATGTCGACACCCTGCAGGAACATGACATGTCAACATACCGCAAATACGGTGTAGGCACAACAAAGGAACATGTCGTCATGCCGCAGGATCATGTTGACGGACCAAAGGTACACCTTGATATACAGAAAGACAGAGGTGCAGTGCATCAATCTAACACCGCATGCACCATGCAATGACACACTAGCCTTTACGGTTACGCCCGCGACAGGCTTGTATGCATGCATGTACATACTGCATGAAGGCGGGTGCCGGGTCTTAGTGTGCCAGCCAGTTTGGAGGGGGGAGGGCGCATGGGGCTTGCGATGTTGTGCAGATCCACACGTGCGCCAGGCTAGCATGCATCTACAGCACGGTGTCACTGCACGTAACCATCCATGCATGGAACTATCACGAATACACGCACATTCACACGTGGATGTGCCCGTGTGTGTATGTGCGTTGCAGTCTGTGCGGCGGCACTGCAGCGCAAGGAAAACACATACGCTCCAGGGGGTTGCATGGACTTCCAGGCAGCCTGCATGTGTTGATGCCTTGGTTGAACTTGGAGCTTGTGTGGATGTTTTGGAAACAAGATATCTGCTTGTGTAAACATTGAAAGGATAGATTTTTGAAGTGTGCTTTCTGGCCATGGGCACATCACCCAAATGCCCACCCTGCTTGATTGCCTGGCATCTCAACCAAGGACCATGCGCCTTGCCATCACCGGTTAGCCAACACATGCACACTCGTCGGGTGATTTAGAGTACCAGCAAAAGTGGACCTGGTCGATCGCCGTGCTAGCTACGAGGTTCGTTAGCAGGGGTGAAGTTGAGCGGCTTGCAGGTAGGTGGGGAAAGGATGGCCAGTAGTACAGAAGGGTTGGGGAAGAGGTGAGGTTTGTTCAATGTTTGGCATGCCGCCGAGCACATATGTTCTCGTATTGGATAGTAGTCGCATACAGGGTAGCCCCCAAGCCAGTAACATGGCGTAACGGCGGGGACCGTCTGGACGTGTGAATCACATTAGCTAGACTGCCAGGCAAGTCGGCCGTTTACCTAACATACGTTACACCACTCAGCGTGCACCTATGGCCTGCTTGGCATGCCTTGGCATGTTGCCTCCTGCCGTTGGGTCGCCATACACCAGCCTCAGCTGTGGGCGCGCGAACGCATGACGGTTGTCCATGCTTTTGCGTCCAGCCCATGTGCTCTTCCCTATCCCTCCAAGCTCAGTAGCACCTGCCGTGGCAGTGCACCATCACCTTCGCCGCCTTTGGAGGAGGAGTGCAGGTTGTGTCGCCGCAGTGGTAGAGCTGTTCCACATTGGACTACCCGTAGCGTCCTCCGTAGTGCGACCACGGAGGATATGTGGAGCTGAGGTTGGAGTGCAATGTGAAGGCTACGCCTTTTTATCATAGCCGTGTCAACAGCGTGATTGAACCCTGGCTGGTTTGGTTTACACCTCTTCCGCATACCGTATGTGCTGACACCAAGACGGTTACAGCCTGGACAAGCATACCCTTGCATGTTGGCACCTTGTGTTCCTTGAAAAGGTCTAATTTGACGTAAAACACGAGGCGCGGGCCCTGTGCTTTGTGTCGTACAGGGGCTTGTAGCCTTTATATAGCCTGCCAAGTCCTGCTTTGCCAAGGACCCAAGCCAGCGGATTTAGCTCAGTTGGGAGAGCGCTAGACTGAAGATCTAGAGGTCGCTAGTTCGATCCTGGCAATTCGCAGGCTGCCAGCCTTCCTTGGAGGAGGAATACCTGTCCAAGGCTTGGGTCCCGCTTTTGCACCGCCCAGAGTGCTTGCGGTCCTTTTGCAGACCTTTTGCTGGCCGTCTTGCCGCCTCTTCGAACGGCCTACACAAAGGAGGCCAACCAAAAGGCGCAAACGGGATTAATCTCGCTCATAGGTTGCGACAAAGACGGCAGCTTGCACCATGAAACAGGGCTACAGGGGATGGGGCGCGTCTATGCAACACGGGGACATGTCGACACCCTGCAGGAACATGACATGTCAACATACCGCAAATACGGTGTAGGCACAACAAAGGAACATGTCGTCATGCCGCAGGATCATGTTGACGGACCAAAGGTACACCTTGATATACAGAAAGACAGAGGTGCAGTGCATCAATCTAACACCGCATGCACCATGCAATGACACACTAGCCTTTACGGTTACGCCCGCGACAGGCTTGTATGCATGCATGTACATACTGCATGAAGGCGGGTGCCGGGTCTTAGTGTGCCAGCCAGTTTGGAGGGGGGAGGGCGCATGGGGCTTGCGATGTTGTGCAGATCCACACGTGCGCCAGGCTAGCATGCATCTACAGCACGGTGTCACTGCACGTAACCATCCATGCATGGAACTATCACGAATACACGCACATTCACACGTGGATGTGCCCGTGTGTGTATGTGCGTTGCAGTCTGTGCGGCGGCACTGCAGCGCAAGGAAAACACATACGCTCCAGGGGGTTGCATGGACTTCCAGGCAGCCTGCATGTGTTGATGCCTTGGTTGAACTTGGAGCTTGTGTGGATGTTTTGGAAACAAGATATCTGCTTGTGTAAACATTGAAAGGATAGATTTTTGAAG